TTTGAATCTTCTTTAATCACTTTATGGCACAAACTTGATAGAATTCATTCAGCAGGTACTGATTGAGTGTTTATAGCGTATTAGGCAATGTTCAGGATGTAGCAATACAATGTTGGTGGGGAGTTTCTACATTCACAAAGCTTGTACTACATTGGAAAGAAGACAGATGAACCAAAAGGGCGTTGTCAGGTGGTGTCAGGTGTTGTGTGATTGTAAATGCTTAGGTGAGGAAAAGTAGGTTTTAAAAAGATGTATTTATATGTGTATGTATTTGAAAGAGTTCCAGAAAGATAGTGATATATCTCCCATGCACTGGTTCACAGCACTGGCCACAGTGACTGAGGCTGAAACAGGCTGAAGTCAGAAACTAGGAGTTCTTCCATGTGTCCCACCTGGGTGGCAGGGCTCATGATGCACTTAGATCATCTGCTGCTGCTATTAGTAGAGAGCTGAATTGAGAGAGGAGCAGCTAGGACATGAACTGGTGCCCATATAGAATTCTGGTGTTGGCAGGCAGCAGCTTCACCAGTTATGCCCCTAGGGTAGTTATTTTATATGCAACATAGAAGGACTCATTGATACAGTGTGATTTGGGCAAACATAGGAAGGAATGAGCCATGTATGCATCTGGGGTGTACCGTGTACTAAATCCATAGTATTTTGCACCTTTTTTCCCCCCAAACTGTAGAGTTTATTTACCTACCCCCCCTTGAATCTAGGTTGGCCTTACAACTTGTTTAAACCAAGTGTCAAAGAAGACGTTATTATGTAAGTTCCAGATTCTAGGTCTCAAGCAATCTTGTAACTTCTATCTTTGCCCGCTTGAAATACTTTTTCTGTGGCATAAGGTGGTATAAGGAAGTCTGTACTGGAAAGGCAAATGGTGGGAAACCACGTAGACAAAGTCAGCAACAGCCAGCACCGAGGTAGGAGAGGTATGAGTGACCCCATGGTAAGGCCTCAGCCCCAGCTAAGCTGCCTGGTGAGCAAGCCCAGGTGAAACCAACTAAAAACCATCCAGTCAACTGACAAGTCTTGAGAATCAGTTCTTTTAAACCTTGAAAATAACTGCAACATGGGAAGGAACATACTATTCAGAGGGAACAACAGTTACAAAGGATCTGACATCACTAATACACATGCTTTGTTCTGCGCCAGCAAGAAGAACCACTTTTAGAGCATAGTAAATGGAGAGAGTGTGTGGAGCTAGGTGCTAGGTCTTTATCAACCATTTATAGACACCGTTTTTACCCTCAGGGGAATGGGAGACCAATGGAAAAGCTTTGAGTAGAGAACTGATGTGACTTCACTCATGTGTTGAAAGTTGAATCACTGTGGATTTTTGTGGAGAAAAGGAAGGGAGGAGTATAGATGTTGGAAAGGAAAGCAGGAAGATCAGTTAGGAGGCCATGGCAGCTGTGAGCAAGGCAGTCTGGGCTAGGATTAGGGTAGCAGTACCGCTGCTGCTGGTGAGATTCTGGTTATATTGTTTAAATGGAGGCTCTAAGGTATGTTAACATGAAGTCAGTGAGGATCAAAGATGTTTCCTAGGATTTTTGTCTGCGCACTTGGCAGGGAAGATTACCATTTAATGAGATGAGAAAGATTGTGGGAGGAAAACTCAGGAGTTCATTGAAAAAAATTTTTTTTAATCTGAAACAGGTTTTATGCAGTTTATTTGTACAGTTCAGGAAGATCGTCACACTTCCCTCACTCCCCTGCCTCCAATACTCCTCCCTTGCCTCTCTGCAACAGTATTTGTAGTCATAATTTTTACTAGCTCTGTTCAAAGGCCTAATTTGAGACTAATCACAATATTCAACAAATACTAAGTGAAAATACCACAGGATCACATTTCTACTGGAGTATAAACCTGAGCTAAAAACAACAGTCCTATTCCAGAGTAACCATTTAATTCTGGCACTTTTTGTGTGTTCTATATTAGCTGCAAAATAGTTCATTTTTTTAAGCGTTTTATTTTATTTTTATTGAAAGCCAGAGTTACCAAATGAACAAAACAGCAGAGCTAAGCTGAACTGAAGCCAGAAGCCTGGAGCTCTTTCAGGTCTCCCAGGTGTATGCGAAGACCTAAGGACTTGAGCCCTCATCCTTTCCTCCTTCCCCAAGCCATAAGCAAGGAGCTGGATCAGAATGGAGCAGCCGGGATTCAAATGGGAGTCCATATGGGATGCCAGTGCAGCAGGAGGAAGTGCTACACCATGCTGCTGATCCCAAGGAATTCATTTTTTAACATGATACAATTGAAATACCTTTTAATCATCCGGGTCTAGTGCTGGGGGAAGAAGTCTGGACCAAATTTAGGTGTTTTCAGTATATAAGTAGTATTTTAAATCCTGAGCTAGATTTAAAGGGGATGATGAATAAGCAGATAGAAAAATTTAAGCTTTAACTTCTTTGTATTTGGATTGTATTATATTGTGATATAAAGCAGGTAAAGCCATGAGTTACTGTTGGCATCTCGTATGAGCACTGGTTTGAGTCCTTGCTTCTCCAAGGATCTGCTGCTTCTGATCCGGCTCTTTCTAATGCACCCAGCAACGCAGCTGAAGATGACCCAAGTGCTTGGGCTCCTGCCACTCATGTGGGAGATCTGGATGAAGCTCGTGGCTCAGGCCTCCCCAGCTCTGGCCATGTCTACCATTAAGGGAGTGTACCAGCAGATGGGCAATCTCTCTATCATCTCCTCTCCTCTGTGTAACTCTGACTTTCAAATAAATAAATCTTTAAAAAAGTGTATTCACATTTTTAAAATACATGTTGTTTTTATGGTATTGCTGATGCCTTTTAAAAAATTTATGCCCATGTAGTTGTTCATATCAACAAATAATTGTGTTGCATAAAAATAGTAGTTTTTGGTGCTAGAAACATAATAGTGAATATTTGTATAAAAATGTATTGGTAAAACTGTTACTATTGTATTCCAAGTGTAGAAATTCAGAGGTAACCACACGCTGCTTAAATAATTACTGTAAAGAGTAAATAGGCATTTTTCCTCAGTGAAGATGTAAAAAGTTGATTATTGTTTCCTGTATTAACAATGTGAGATGAAAGTGAATATGCCACAAAGTCATGGGATTTTACAGAGTTTATATTGACCTTCTGAGAGTTGTAGACACAAATAAACCTAAATTAACTGAATTCCAGAAAGAGAAGCCCCACGGACTATACCAAGAGGAGAGGGGATCCCAGTGTAGCAGAAAGGAACAAAGGCAGAGTTTTTTTTAACTTTGAGCTACCTTGTATGGACTAGTGTTACAGGGCAGACTCTCCGGGAGCCCCAGGCACAGCACAGTTACACCCACTCTCCAGTTGTTCCTGCAGTGTCTTTGTGCAGTATGCAGTGACAGAGTGGTAAATGTTGAGGCAGGATAGAGGAACTAAGAGAGATCCCTCTTTGATGTGCTTAGGCATTAGCTTACGCATTATAGCAGTTTGGGCAGGCAGCAGAATAGAAAGGTCTCTTTTCTTTAGCACAAGGTTTTTTGAAAGGTCTCTCTTGAGGAGCAGAAAAACACTAGAGAACAGCCCTGGAGCACAAAAGGTACCCCAGCAACTGTAAAGCCAAGAGAGCTTTTATAATTGGTAAGCTAATAACTTGACTGTTACGCAAAAGAGAGATCTAAAGTCTTGTTACTTTTCAAATTCCAAGCCCTGTTGAATGAGAGAAGATCTGGATCCTACCCTCAAAATATTTGAGGGACAGGCATTGTGGTGCAGTTTGAGGTACCCACATCCCATTCCAGAGTTCATAGGATCCTCAGGAGATGGCCCAAGTTCTTACGATCCTGCCACCCATTGGGGGACCTAAATGGAACACCTGCCTTGGCCTGACCCAGCTGCATCTGTTGTGGGCATTTAGGGAGCAAACCAGTGAATGGAAGATTGATTAATTGATCTCTCTCCCTATATCTGTTTTTCCACCTATCTTTCTCTCTATCACTCTGCCTTTTAAACAAAGAAAGCATTATTCTTTTAAAAATTTTTATTTTATTTTGTTTTCTTTTACAATTTTATTTTAATTTAGCTTAGTTTAGTTTATTTGAAAGGAAGAGATGGAGAGGACACATAGAGAGGGGAGGGAGGAGGAGGGGTTAGGCAGCTGGGACTCAAACTGATGCCCATAAGGGATGCTAACAAAGCAGGTGGCAGCTTAATTTGCTATGTCACAATTCCAGCCCCATAAATAAAACCTTTAGGAAATATAGTTGAGCCAACACGATGTCACAATTGGCTAGTCTTCTGCCTGCAAGTGCTGGTGTCCCATATGAGCACCATTTCATGTCCAGGCTATTCCACTTCCCATCCAGCTCCCTGCTTGTGGCCTGGGAAAGCAGTACAGGATGGCCCAAAGCCTTGGGACCCTGCACCCATGTGGGAGACCCAAAGGGGGTTCCTTGCTTCAGATCAGGTCAATTCTGGGCATCACTACTGTTTGGGGAATGAACCAGAGGATGAAAGATCTCTCTCTTCTCTTGGATAAATCTGAATTTCCAATAAAATAAATTGATCTTTTAATTGACCTGCTACATGCCCAACCCACTTCTCTACTGTATTGCCTGAAAAATCAATGGAGAATGGCCCATGACCTGGACCCTGTATCCATGTGCAGACCTGAAAGAGGCTCCTGGCTCCTAGCTTTCGATCGGCTCAGCTCCCAAGTTGCGGCTACTTGGGGAGTGAGCCATTGAATGAAAATGCTTTCCCTCTGTCTCTGCTTCTCTCTGTAAATCTGACTTTCAATATAAATAAATAAGTGTAAGACCTAGTTCTAAATGTATTACTGGATTGTCTAGTGTCTAGCATGATGCCTGAAATCTAGTGGCATACATTGTTATTTGCAAGTTTTTGAATTCATAAATTGTTTTCTTGAATATTTGAAGTTGGATTATATCATTTATAAGTAGAGTTTGAACTTTTCACTTCTTATAAAAGAAGAATTACTTATTAGAATGAGTGTATATTATTGTTTCTTCTCTTAGGAGTGGAACATTACCAAGCTGTCGATTGAGTATGATTCTGAGCCTTTTGGAAAGGAACGAGATGCAGCCATCAAGAAACTCGCCACTGAGGCTGGAGTGGAAGTCATTGTGCGAATTTCACACACCTTGTATGACCTGGACAAGTAAGCTGCTTTTTAAAAAAAAATTATAGGAATAAATATATATGTGTTATATATTTATTATATATTATATACATTATACACTATATATTATATACATTCATTACACACACGTATATATTGCAATATTTATCATTTTAACCATTTTAAAATACATGGTTCATACTGTTAAGTACTTAGTTAAGTTTTACCTTAAGGTTTTAAAGATTTGGTTTTTTTTTTAACTTTTGAATAAAATTTATTTTTATATAATGCTCTACATTATAAAAGGCATACAGTTAATTTGATTATTTCCTTTTTTTATTTTGATTTCTTTTTTTTAAAGATTTGTCTTATATATAAGGCAGATCAGATTTAGAGAGAAGGAAAGACAGAGAGAAAGATCCTTCATCCACTGGTTCACTCCTCAAATGGCCAAAATGGCTGGAGTTGAGCCAATCTGAAGCCAGAAGCCTGGGTCTCCATGCAGACACAGGGTCCCAAGGCTTTGGGCCATCCTCTTCTGCTTTCCTAGGACATAAACAGGGAGCTGGATGGGAAGTAGAGCAGCCAGAATATAAACTGGCACCCATATGGTACACTTGCAAGGTGAGAATTTAGCAAATTGAGCCATCACACTGAGCCAGATAAATAAAATCTTTATAGAAAGTAAATTAATTAATTTTCTCTGAAAATTCAAGTAAGGCCTACTAGGTTTCAAAAAAAATTACTCATAGATCTGGGACAGCATGCTTTTGAACATACTAGACAGATAATATCCTTTGAATCCTTTAAAGCCTAAAAGTATAAGGTTGTACTTGATATGGCTTAACTTGGTGGGCTAATAATATACTGGATTCTAAAATTAGAGAAGCAATAAGATTTCTAGATTATAAATAGCTTGTGTGCCGGATGCTTATCTTAAGTTTTTAAAATGGAAATAATGGCATACACAAATACATCATACAGTTGTGCAAGAATTAAATGGATATAAAAAAAGAATTAAATGAATGTTTGCTAAACTTAGCATTTTATTAAACTGCTGTGTGTTTTATCTGCTGACAGCTATAAAAATATAGTGCACAAGATAAAAATATTCAGCTATTCAATTTCAGAGCTATTGTTTATTAACCCAGCTTCCTGAATGCATACCCTGAGGGGTAGCATATGGTGCCTCAAGTACTTGGGCACCTGATACCCATGTTTTGAACCCTGTCTTTCGCCTATCACAGAACTGACTGTTGTGGACATTTGAGAAGTCAACCAGCACTTTCTGTATGCCCCGTCTCTGCCTTTCACTCAGACTAAAATTAGTTCTTTTAAAAATCATTTTAGGGCCCGGCGCAGTGGCGCAGTGGTTAAGGTCCTCGCCTTGCACGCCCGGGATCCCATATGGGCGCCGGTTCTATCCTGGCAGCCCCGCTTCCCTTCCAGCTCCCTGCTTGTGGCCCGGGAAAGCAGTCGAGGACGGCCCAAAGCTTTGGGACCCTGCACCCGCGTGGGAGACCCGGAAGAGGCTCCTGGCTTCGGATCAGCATAACATCGGCCGTTGCGCTCACTTAGGGAGTGAATCATCAGATGGGAGATCTTCCTCTCTGTCTCTCCTCCTCTCTGTATATCTGCCTTTCCAATAAAAAAATAATAAAAATAAATCTTTAAAAAAAATAGTTTTAGAATTTTTTAAAGGTTTATTTTTTTCTTATCGGAAAATGAGATCTATAAAGAGAAGGAGAGACAGAAAGAAAGATCTTCTTCATCCACTGGTTCACCCCTGGAGTAGCTGCCAATGGCCAGAATTGAGCCAATATGAAGCCAGGAGCTTCTTCCAGGTCTCCCATGAGGGTGCAGGATCCCAAGGCTTTGGGCTGTCCTTGACTGCTTTCCCAGGCCACAGGCAGGGAGCTGAAGGGAGGTGGAGCAACCAGTACATGAACTGGCACCCACATGGGATCCTGGCGCATACAAGGCAAGAACATCAGCCAATAGACTACTGTGCCCGGTCTCACTTTAGAACTTAAAAAAGCAAAACTGTTATTAAGATTATTGCAGATTTTCCTGACTCCTCAAACCCAGCCCACTAAGGTCTTGCCTTTCTAATCTTTGTACAGTACTAGTTGTTTATATGATACATGGCCATGACTGCCTTGACAATTGTCTTATTCCGTTATTTTACTTCATGTGTGCAGTTTGCCTGTCTGCCTCGCTGGTTTTCAAATCCAGATGGAACTTGAATCTGGTAGAAATTTGCATCACTGTATTCCTTTGAATGATGACGGAATGCCATGTTCTCAGTTTCTGGTAATATCCGTCCCTGTTGATGCTTTTCAACCCCACCCTCCCCGCAAATGTGATCAAATGGAAGCTGAGGAAGTATTATGTACTGTGAATTTTGTAGGTTCCTAAGATTTGTTAACTTACCAAAACTTTTGGCATAGAGTCATTCTAATGAAAATAAAATCTCATAACTTAACTTTTAAAATTGTTTGGGGGAGCCAGTGTGTGACACAGCAGTTTAAGTCACCGGTATTGATGCCAGTGTTGCATATCGGTGCCAGTTAGAGTCCTAGTTACTCTGTTTCCCATCCAGCTCCTTGCTAATGTGTCTGTGAAGTCAGAGCATCTTACTTAACCAAGTACCCTGAGCCCTCGAGACCCATGTGGTAGATCTGGAAGAAGCTTCGGGTTCCTAACTTCAAACTGGCTCATTCCCAACTGTTATAGTCATCTTGAGTACTGAACCAGAGGGTGAAAATCTCTCAATAAATATTTTTAAAGTAAAATGAAATGAAATTGTTTTTAGATATTTACCCATTTTATCAAGTTAATGAAACTGATAACATGACAAGCTAGTTAGATTTATTCTGTTTCCAAGTATATTAAAAAAAATCAGAGTTTGATTCAATTATAATTCCTTATATTATATGCAAAGTCATTTGTGCAAAAACTTTGTGAAAAAGTATAGTTAGGGCCCGGTGCAATGGCGCAGTGGTTAAGGTCCTCGCCTTGCACGCCCGGGATTCCACGTGGGCGCCGGTTCTAATCCCGGCGGCCCCACTTCCCATCCAGCTCCCTGCTTGTGGCCCGGGAAAGCAGCAGAGGAAGGCCCAAAGCTTTGGGACCCTGCACCTGCATGGGAGACCCGAAGAGGCTCCTGGCTTCAGACCGGCGTAGCGTTGGCCGTTGCACTCACTTGGGGAGTGAATCATCAGACGAAAGATCTTCCTCTCTGTCTCTCCTCCTCTCTGTATATCTGACTTTCCAATAAAAAATAAAATAAATCTTAAAAAAAAAAGTATAATTAAAACATGCTTATTTTGATGCAAAAAATGAAATATACATATGTAGATATGTGGAGTCTTCCAAATATTCATGGAAAATGAATATTATGAAAAAATTGCATGGGTTTGAACATTTTTTTGCACCAAAACAAACTTTGAACTTCATTACTGTGTTCATCTTTTGGAGTTCCTCCAAATATCCTTGGTAAAGAAGCTTCCCTTCTAGTGCGTCGGCTTGCTTGATTTTAAGGAGTGTATGGCAAGAAAAGGACAGAACAGTACAAAAGAAGTTGATTTTTATTATGCATAAAATTAGTATTTATTGGATTGAATGTGAATATTTGTAATATGTCATAAATCATGATAAAATAACTTTTAAAAATTTCTTTCTTACATTAAGTTTTGGCTACTGAAATATAGTTATAGTGTTCCCCATAGTATTTCTGTTGTATCATTACATTTAATACAATTATTGTGATCCTCAAAACATTATATCCAACATTTACCGAAAGCAGGAGAGGATAAGCTTTTCTAGTGATTGTTTTCTATACGTACAGTTGATACATAACTATGGTGTGTTTGAACTAAAACAATCTTGGTTTGCCATTTATCAATTATGTGAGCCTGACTAATTTGCTTAACCTCTCTGGTAGGTTTCAGTGTGTATATCTATAAAATAATGGAATTGAATTTTACCTCTGATCCTTTTTTTAAGGCCAGATACTAAGCCAATGAAAAAGAATCATTACATAAAATACTACTATATTTCACAAAGTATATGTGAAAGTATACTAATCATTGGCAAAGCTGGCTCTAACCATACTCCCGGCAGCTGGACCTGAACCCCAGTTCCCACTTGGTGGGAGGGACCATCGCCTCCTGCCTGCAGGGCACATCAGCAGGAAGCTGGAGCAGAAGCACATCGAATCTTACAGCATCTTGGCTGCTCAGCTAAACACTACACCGTGACTTAACTGTTATTGATGTTTGAGAGAATTCTTGAGTTTAGTTGTCATGTTTTTCACATGTCCTGTGTATTAATTTTTTGGTGTTATCTTTAGGCTATTATAGCCACCTGAGTTTTTCACCCATAGATCCTTAATACTGTTCACCTTAAAGGTTTTGGTAATTGTATAGTGTGTATTTCTGATAGCTAGCACATATCTAGAAAATGAAGAGAATGAGTTTTAGACTCAATCATTTGAATATATTTTATGATCATGTAAGAAGATGTCTAAGAACTATTAAGTGATTAACTATATTTCAGATCTTCAACCTTAACACCAAAATGTTTTTTTATATTAACTGCCTTTTACTAACTCTTATAATAGGATTATAGAACTCAATGGTGGACAACCACCTCTTACTTACAAAAGATTCCAGACTCTCATCAGCAAAATGGAACCTCTAGAAATTCCAGTGGAGACAATTACTTCAGAAGTGATAGAAAAATGCACAACTCCTCTGTCTGAAGACCATGATGAGAAATATGGAGTCCCTTCTCTGGAAGAGCTGGGTGGGTATAAACTATAATAAATACAAGACCTGACAGCTTGAGTCATAAATCACTCAGAAAATTCAACTCTTAATTTTTCCACATAAAGTATTAATGCATTAAGAAGGAAAGAAAGTAGGGAAGAGAAAGAGAAGAAACTCCTAAGCCAAGAAGTGTAATTCTGTACATTAGTTGTGCACACACACACTCTGGGTGGGTGGGTTGGTGTGCGTGTGTGAGAGAGAGGCGGGAGGGGGACGGGGCTGTCACCAGGTGTGCATCTAAAGGGCAGAGATCACGTCCTGTCCCGGGCAAGCCCTCAGTCAGTTTCTGTGCTGTTCTCATCATTTTTTTCTCTCAATTGTGGTTAAATAAAAATTGTTTAATTCTAGAGAATTGATTGAATATTTATTTACTTATCTAGGTTTTGATACAGATGGCTTATCTTCTGCAGTGTGGCCTGGTGGAGAAACTGAAGCACTTACACGTTTGGAAAGGCATTTGGAAAGAAAAGTATGACAATCTAGATCATCTAGCCATGCTTTTATTTCCAAGCTGGCATTTTTAAAACAATTCCATTCTCCTTTAAAAATAAAAAGCAGACTGTTGAAGCATTTAGGGAAATAGTTACATAAACCCAATATTTAAAAATGAACTATCTCCACATTTAAATGTCCTTTCCCCTCTTTTCTGATTATTTTTCTTGATTATTTGCTACTTTTCTATTTAAGCTGGTTTCTGATCACTGTAACGTTGAAACTAGAGTAGAATTTTCCTGTCAATCTCAGTGTCAGGTAGAAGGTGCTCTCAGCTGTGTGCTGGGAATTGGAAGATGATGTTTTTCATATGAGTATGTGCTGCATCAGAATGATTGAAACAAAAAAAGTTTACCTTTCCTTTATGTTTATTAAAACAAAAAATTTGTGGCTTAGATAATGCTGTTCTCCAAGAACTACGTAACTGTTTTTTCAAAAACCACCATTTTGAATACTTTGTTACAATGGAAAAGACAATGTGATTCTTGCTGTATTTTCAGGCTTGGGTAGCAAATTTTGAAAGACCTCGAATGAATGCAAATTCCTTGCTTGCAAGCCCTACTGGACTCAGTCCTTATCTCCGTTTTGGTTGTTTGTCATGTAGACTGTTCTACTTCAAACTAACAGATCTCTACAAGAAGGTATTGTCTACAATTAGAGCTTATTTTTCAAAACTCATTGTTAAAAATTGCTGTTAATATTTCTTTGCTTTTTAATCACAGGTAAAAAAGAACAGTTCCCCTCCTCTTTCTCTTTATGGGCAACTGTTGTGGCGTGAGTTTTTCTATACAGCCGCAACAAATAATCCACGCTTTGATAAAATGGAAGGAAACCCCATCTGTGTTCAGATTCCTTGGGATAAAAATCCTGAAGCTTTAGCCAAATGGGCTGAAGGTCGGACAGGCTTTCCTTGGATTGATGCCATCATGACACAGCTTCGTCAGGAGGGTTGGATTCACCATCTGGCCAGACATGCAGTTGCTTGCTTCCTGACACGAGGTGACCTGTGGATCAGTTGGGAAGAAGGAATGAAGGTAAGTCTTCTGTGTAATGTAGCCTGGTCTTTGAAGGAAGCTTGGATGCTGTATACTGGATAGATTTTAGTCTGGTGTTCAGTGAATAAAACACTGACTCACCACAATATAGGCATACTTTTGGACAACAGGATGGTATAGTCAGGAGAAATGTTGAACAGTCTAAAGCTATGAATCTGAACTCATTGCAGTGTTTAAGCAGGCTATCATTTAAGAGAATTAGCACTCTAAACATTTGAAGTGATTTAGCACTCTGTATTTTATTGTATAGATATGTTTATATGTGATCATTCTGTAACAAAAAGGAGTTGTCTAAGAATTCTCAAATAATGAATTCATATTATAAATCTTAAAATATAAACCATTTCACTTCATTCCAACATTAAAGCTTTTTAGTAATAACCTCTGTTACACAAAGTGAAGCATACTGTGTTTTATTATATATTGTGTTATGTAACAGGATTTATATATATGTTCTCCCTCTGCCCATAATATAAATTTTCTCTATCCAGTGCCATTTCTGAGCTTTTTAAAAAATTTCCTTTATTTCCTAGGACAAAATTGTACATAAAGATGTGTAGTGCATATTTAATAAGTTTATAATGACCATTTATTTCAAATTCTTATTTGAATTAAGGAATTCAAAACCTAAATTGTAATATTTTTAAAGTATATTTGTTGTTTGAATATGCGCCCTTTATTTAGGCTACTGTACTAAGCTTCTAAGTTTTTGCTGGCGATTTATTTGGTAGTGCATTTGCTATTTTGAAAGTGGATTACTACTTTTTATCTGTTAATATCCTGTCTTTTAAATCAGTGATTCTACTGTAATTTTTTTATACTACCTCCTCTAAAACTGCAAAGATTGGAAAAGTAGATTTTCTTTAAAAATCTACATTACCAATATTTTTTTTTCCTGAAATGCCTCATTATAAGATAGAATATACACAAAAGCTAACTTGGGATGTTTTAATTTTACAGTTCTGTACTAATTTCTTTACCTTGACTTTTGACCTACAGTGACCTCAAAAATGCTTGCTTTGAGAATTATGTTTGTGCAAACTAATTGGTTACTGTTACTTCTGAAGGTATTTGAAGAATTATTGCTTGATGCAGATTGGAGCATAAATGCTGGAAGTTGGATGTGGCTATCTTGTAGTTCCTTTTTCCAACAGTTTTTTCACTGCTATTGCCCTGTTGGTTTTGGTAGGAGAACAGATCCCAATGGAGACTATATCAGGTAAATCAAGGGTGATTATTACTCAGTTTGGAATAGCTAATCCGGAAGAGCTTTTGATGTTTAAGCAACTCTATAAGTATCCCCCCTCTCAGGATGGGCAGCAGAAATAAGGAGAAGGGTAAACAGATCATTTAAATGGTATTGACTTGATTTTGGTCACCCATAGCTGGTAGCTTCTGATCATTTGCTCATAGTGCATTTTATTAATAATTTTTCTTCCTTCTCCCAAAAGGCGTTATTTGCCTGTCCTAAGAGGCTTTCCTGCAAAATATATCTATGATCCCTGGAATGCACCAGAAGGTATTCAAAAGGTAGCCAAATGTTTGATAGGAGTTAATTATCCCAAACCAATGGTGAACCATGCTGAGGCAAGCCGTTTAAATATTGAAAGGATGAAACAGATTTATCAGCAGCTTTCACGGTACAGAGGTCTAGGTATGTATGTAGTTGCATTTGATTTTTTCTTTTTTTGTTTGAGGCAGCTGTTTCTGTATTTATCATAATTTTTATCTTGATCATAATTTGATAAGAATTTTTTTTATTCAGGTCTTCTTGCATCAGTACCTTCTAATCCTAATGGGAATGGAGGCCTCATGGGATATTCTCCTGGAGAAAATATCCCCGGCTGTAGCAACAGTGGGAGTAAGTGAAAAGGAAATTACTGTACTTTATCACATAGAGAAATTAGTGATCAGATATACAGTTTATTGAAGCTTACTATATGTTCTGTAAAAATCTCTCTTCCATCTCAGCATAATAAATCTATACCCATGCACACACAATTATCACCTCACTCAACTGGTGACATTTTAGAGGTGGAAAATGTTAGTACATGTAATAAATACTAAATCAAGTTAAAGATCTTGCAAACTGAGTGAGAAGAATTTTAAGGATAAAATGAAATGTATATCCCTTATTTTCAGAATGTTCATTATTTTTAATTCTCTGTAGATGTGTCCCAGTTTTATACAGAGAATCACTTTGTACATGCATTTATTTTTTCCTCCCAATCTTGTCTGTACTAATTTTCTGAATGATATGTGTTTAGTACCAAGTAACCCTTGTTTAAACAACAAAAAATGATTATTTAAAGCACAAACTGGCAGAGAATGAGGGACAGCGAGAGAGAGCAAAGACTTTTATCCACTGGTTCATTTCCCCTTATAGCAAATGGGCCAACCAAAGCCGGGAGCCTGAAACTCCATCTGAGTCTCCCACATGGTCTCAGGGGCCCAAGTCTTGAGCCATCATCTGCTTGTCAGGTACAAAGCAGGAAACTAGATCAGAAGCAGAGCAGCCACGACTCAAACCAGTGCTCCAATATAGGATGCCAGCATTGCAAGTGACAGCTTAATCTGCACACAACACTAACCCAATTGTATAAAATCTTTTTTTTATTTTAGATTTTATTTTAGAGTTTTTTTAGGAAGAGACAGATAAATCTTCATCCACTGTTTCACTGTCCAAATGGTTACAATAGGTAGCATTGGGCTATTCCAAAGCTAGGAGCCAGGAGCTTCTTCCATATCTCCTACCTGGGTTGGGTGCAGGAGCACTAGGCTTTGGGAAGTGCTCTGCTGCCCTTCCAGGCCATCAGCAAGGGCTGGATCAGAACTGCCAGGACACAAGCCAAGTCCCATAGGCCATCCTGGTGCCATTGGTGGAGGATTAGCCTATTATGCTACTGTGCCAACTCCTTGCATAAATTCTTGATGTATGCGTATTAATAATGTTAAGTTGATATGTATTGGGAATTTGAATTTAAATCACGCCAATTTTTAAGGTTGTAGCCAAACATAGTTTGAGATGAAGTAATTAAGAATAAGCAACATTTGAGGAATGGTTATTTTTTTTAATCAGGTATTCTATGTAAGATTAAGACCTTTTCTAAAACCTGATTGGACAATTTAAAAATACCCTGCATCCTTTTGAGAACAGCATGTATTTTATCTTCCGAAAGTTAGATGAAAGATATCAGTAGCACTCTGAGTGTCTACCTTGTTCCCACAGTAGAGAATTTTAGCATACATCTTCACAATAACCTTTTGGGAAGATGGTGGTAGAACCCTCATGACTGGGAAATATCATAGAAAGGTTTGGTAATTTAGCCAAGATCCCATGGTAACTTACTAATTGAACTAAGATTTGGATCTAAGTCAAATCAGCCTCAAAACTCATAGTGTTTCCTGTTATATTGAACCTTCTCTGCAAAGGTAAATACCACAGATATTATTTTTAAGATAAAATATTTTATTGCTGACTTGTGATTCACCCTGCAAATATTTACCAAGGTTGGCCCACATACATGATATGTTCTTTCTCAGGGTCTGCTACAATTTGAAGTAAACTTGAACCGGGCATCATTTCCTTTAGAATCTGATATTTTTTTAGATGAAAGAGTGACAGGGAGAAACCAAGAGATTGTCTCCCCACTAGTTACGTCACAAGTGCTCACAACAGCCAATGCTGGGTTGGGCTGAAGCCAGCAGCCTGGAGTTCCATCTGAGTCTCATGAGGGTAACAAAGACATGTGTGCCTCATCCGCTTCCTTCCCAGGCACCAGCAGGATGCTGGGTGGCAAGCAGCATATTCACATTTCACATCAGTGCACAACCTGCTACACAAGTGGGAGACCTGAAGCACTAAGCTGACAAGTAGGTAGCAGGATGGAAACCAGTGGCCTCCAGTGCCTGGCTAATGTACAATGATTCATCCTTCTTAATCTGTGTATTCTTTATTTGAAGTGATATTCAAAAAATAGTAATAAGCTAGTCATGATAGCACATTAAATTTTAATAGTTTTGTTTCATAAATTCCTAAGCATGGATAGTTTAAAATGTAATAGAAAAATTAATGAATCTTGAAATTTAATCACATGGGGCTGACATTGCGCTGAGGGTAAAGCCAGTGTTTGTAATGCTTGCATCCCATATTCAGCTCCCTGCCTTTGGCACCTGGGAAAATAGCAGGAGATGGTCCAGGTACTTCATCTTCTGCCAACCATGTGGGAAACCCAGATGGAGTTGCAGGCTTTGGCTGGCCCAGCCCTGGCTGCTGTGGCCATTCTGACCATTTGGATAGTGTGAACCAGCAGATGGAAGATTCATTCACTTATGTTTTCTCACCCTCAACCCTACCTTCTTCATTACCCTGCCTTTCAAATAAATAAATCTTTAGAAATTGTTTGAGTATTTGCCTGTAACACTCTTAAGTTCTATGAAACTTTCAAAAAACAAAGAAGATGTAAAAGCTACTTGGAACTTAACAGCCTAAATAGTGTGGAGGGGAAACAAAAAAAAATGAAAAACATGGTACATTTTGAGTGCTGCCTTTTCAAAAGGAAAAAATGGTGAAATTGCTGAGAGTTAATGGAACTAGAAATTTTTTCTTGGAAGATGTTGGGGCAGGTGTCTTATTTCTGTAGTCTGTTGTAAAAGAGAACATTTTAGACCTGTGAATGAGTCTGGAAAGATCCTAAGAATCTGGACAGGCTGCTAAGCATTTCTCCTCCCCTCAGGTTCCTGCTCCGCTGCAAGGATTCTGATGGTGCTAAGGCATTTCCCTTTGTGTCCTACATTCACTTGTCTGTAAGCGTTTATCTAATTGTGGCTTACAGGGCACATCAGAAGGCATGATTCTAGGTGATTTTTCTTAGGTTTTTCTAAATAACTATGAAAAGTTGTTCATTTCTGCAGCAAAAATCATGTTTTTCTACTTTCACCTACACATAGATGTCTTAAAGTACTTTGTTCTTAGAATAAAACAAACCACAATCTGTTTTATTATGCTAACTTCTTTTATGTTTTTATTTAATTTTAATTTTTTATTATAAAATTTCCGTTTGTCAGTAATAGGTATATGCAAATTAAAACCAGTATGGGATAGTACCTCACATCCAGTTAGGGGTATCATTTGTTACTGAATGGACTTGAAGGACTTTCTGGGACACTCCTAGTGTTATAGAGGATTTAAAACTCCTCATGAGGTGCTGAGTGCTGGAAAAAGCGGTATAGCTACTTTAGAAAACAGTGTTGGAATTTCTTAAAAAGACAAACATAGTTTTATATAATTGAAAACATGTTATACAGACTTATAAGTAAATATGGTAAGTTATTTTAGTAGTCAAAATATAATAAATCCATCCAATGCTATCCATAAAAAGGAACAAACTGCCGATACATATTACTGTGTATGAATTTCAAAATCACCATGCTAAGTTAAAGAGGACAAAGTGCCACATATGACATTTTGACTGTATGCTTGTGAACTATTCAGAGATAGTGCCACGTACGACATGATTTTGATTGTATGCTTGTGAACTATTCAGAGATGACAGATGTTTCGAGACAAAGTAGATTAGTAGTTGCCTTAGGTTTGTGGGTAGGAATGGAAAGTGAACTGTTATAACTGAACTTTTGGGCATAATGCTAGATTTTCTAAAACTGAATGATGGTAAGTCAGTTAACTAAGAAAGTCACTTAATTATACACAGGAAACAGGAAGCTTTTGTGGTGTGTGAACTCTATCCCTAAAAAACTATTTACTATAAAAATTTGAGAAAACGTAGATAAAGTAGTTATGTCACACATAGGATGCTAGCATCCCATATTATGCCTGGATGAAATCAGTCTTTCTACCTGGAAAATAGCAGGTGCTGGCGCAAGTGCCGGGTCCCCTGCCACCCACAGAAGAATCCCAGAGGGAGTTTTGGGCTCCTGGCATTTTCCCGGCCTGGCTCTAGCTATTGTGGATATTTTAGGGAGTGAACCAGCAGACAGGAGATATCTCTCACTCTTGCTCTCTTTCTTTCAAGTAGACAAAAATAGTTAATTTTTTCAGTTTTCATTCTATAGTTCCAATCTTAAATGATGTTGGTATTTTGCAATTTTTTGCAATGACTCACTCTGAAGACATTTTTTTGAATTGATCAGCAGGTTTCTCATTGTCTTGTACCATTATTCCCATGAAAATAAAATCTACTTGTTATGGGAAAGTTATAGAGTACAGTGGTATCCATAGATTTGGGAAGTCAGAATACTGTAAGGACCTGCTTGACATATATCCCTGTAAAGAAATAAATACTATCTAAGGAAATTCCCAGCATGTTTATTTCTGCTTCTTCCTATAGGTGATCATGCTCCTCATGCATAGTAAAATAATTTTGTCCATTGTGTTAGCTTTAAAGGAATGGAGTCATCTAGTTTGTATTCTTTCTTGCATCTTCTGTTTTGATGCAACATTTGTTTCTAATTTGTTCACATTTACCCTAGTATTAGAAGGAGGAATAAAATTGATGAAATAAAGTAAAATAAAGTGAATTAATTAATTTGAGAAAATGAAACTGAAAGTGACCAGTTTATGACTTGTCTAAAGGGCTGTCTTTATGAATCTCCAGTCCTTTCTTGGTGTTCCACTGTATTCTGTACTGACATCCATCCTACTGCCCCATATCACTTGTATGGAGTAACTTGCTGTAGCTGTCTCTTCCCACTCTCCTGGGAGTGCCTGGAGGCCCTGTGTCTTGGTAATGTTCTATCCCTGGTTCCTGGTATATTCTCTGGAAGAAACAGACATTCAGCGCATATGTAATATATAAATAAAATGTGGAAGGAATGAATAGATACAATTTAAATTCAGTGGTGAAATACACATTAGTCTTACCATTCTGATCATTTTTCATTGTATACTTCAGTGGTATTCAGTATGTCCCCATAGCTGTTTGAAACTTTAACTAACAGAGTACCATGGGGTGGCAAGTCTCACTGTAAGGAAAAGTCACGCTGATGATAAGCTCAGGAGTCGCACCATTCAGTGGTGAATCTGCCCTTGGCCAGGCCTGACCTGTAAAGAGCTATTCTTTGGAAACTGACTGTTAAGACTTTGCCTTCGAAGTGCCAATATTTCTGTGACCCAAAACTTCATTTTTCTTGAGCTGGGAATATATATATATATATATATATATATTTTTTTTTTTATCAAGGAGGATTGAAGTTTAGTCTTTTAATCTTGAAAGTGTATACATAAGCTTAAGTATAAATGCTGAAAATTGTATATTACAGTCTTACTACATATATCTTGGATTTATTTTGAGGACTTTTACTGTGTTTTAAATGCTAACAGGTTGCCCTCAAGGGAGTGGTATTTTACATTGTGGTCATGGAGACAGTCAGCAAACTCACCTATTAAAACAAGGTAAGAATGAAGCCTTTGAGCAAACTGTTCTTTTTACCTTTCCTATCTTAAACATACATGTTTTCAATGGGCAGGAAGAGGCTCCCTGGGCACTGGCATCAGCAGTGGGAAGCGGCCTAGTCAGGAAGAGGACACACAAAGTATCGGTCCGAAGGTCCAGAGACAGAGCACTAATTAGGTAAATGTTTCAAATACTTATTTGCTGCTTTAATAGAGTATAAGTTAACAGAAACTGATTTCCAAAATGGATTCCAGAAAATCCTGAGGCATGAATCCTTAAGCAGTTATTAAAAGTTAGTTATTGGACAAGAGAAATACATCTCTTTGGGGACAATTGCTGTGCTCAGTCTTATGGTCATTTGACAAGATAATGTTTAAATTTGGAAAACTTAAGATTTTGTGATTAAATTGTTCACTAAAAAAAGACAGCTTTTTCATTACCCCACTATGTAATGAGTCTCAAACAATTAAAATGGTGTTTTAATTTTATATTTTTGTAGTCCCCTTACGAACTTTTCCCCAAATCTTTGCCTCTTAAATATTTATAATTCTTTTATTCTTTGTCATGTTTCTAAAACATAAACTCTTTACCTGTTTAAAAATAATTTGAATTTTTAAAAATGCTGGCGCTTTATAGAAGTGTCATATATTCATTTCAAGTGGACACAGAATATTATCAATGTGATCCAAGTTAATGGGAACGGTATATAGTACATTTGCCAGTTTTTAAAGACTGCTTGTTAACCTTCTATTTTTAATTGGTTAATTTTTAATGCCAGCCTATTTAAACCACAAGTTTCTTGGAGATGATCAATAAACGCATCAAAATTTTACGATTTTTAATTATCTGTAATCTTGCTTTATTCACTGTTTGGTTTTGTTTTTTCCCCCTTAAATCACAGAGAACATTCAGGAGGAATGCTGTTGCAGCTGAACTTTGTGGGTATTTCAGTACTTTTCCACTAAATTATTTTAAAATGTTCTTCATTGATGGAAAGCAGTTACATTTTGAAATGCATTGCTTCTAATTACATTTCCGTGCTTTTTAACTTTTTAATGAATTTCACACAGGATGGGTGATAATTTGTATATAAAGAACTTGACAAAAGAGTTTGCTTAATGTAAATATAGTCACAATTAGCATAGATCCATCAATATATTTTTGATAAATTTTCATGTATGGTAAAAGTTAAAGTTACAAACTGATAATCTGTTATAAAATTCAGTTTTGAGAGTCAGTATGGGAAAATAGGAGGTTTTTAAGACTTTCTTAAAAGACTTTGTTAAAGGAAAAATTTTTCTTGGCATCATTGAGGTAACTTTACATTCTTTGATAATATTTTAGAAAATGTGTATAATTAAATATTGCTTATTGTAACCTTAAATATATACAGTACATGTTTCAAGCTTCATGTTTGCCTGTTCAGACCCAAACATGTAGAAGGACCGTGTGTTCTCTGTCTCCCTTTTTTGTTTTTGATAGCCAAAGTGACCTTGTTATTAAAGTTTATGTGAATATGGAATTTTGTATACTTGGTGGTGGTTGTTTTGTTGTGGTTTTCATTTTTTTTATTTTGTTCATATTTGGTAAGGAGGAGAGTATTGCTATGTGAGATGTGATTTACAAACTGCAGATGGTTCTGCAAACCACACGCCACCATCTTGACTGAAGGTAGTGTTATAGGAGGCTCCTTATTAAGTATATTCTCTTAGAGTCAATGTGACTAAGTACCATATATTTAATAAAATAATATTCTTCAAAAGTAATTTACAAGAAAGGATTTAAGTGGCAGGCAGAATCTAGGCTCCCCATCTCAATACTGACTGATTTCCAAGATATTCTAGAATTAACTAAGCAGCCTGTGTGTATGAATAAGAGGCATTTGTCCAGAAACCTTTCTCCCTCTGAGATAACCTTATTTAAAAATTTCATTATTTTTGGATTGTACACTTTGCTGAATCACAAGCAATTGGAATCCCGATTAAACTAGGGGTTTCACTTGCGTTCCGGAAGAGTAATTAGAGTAGGATACAGAAAAGAAAAAAATTAGCGGCTAAAGTCTTTGCATAGCCTGTGCCAGGACCCCATATGGGCACCAGTTCTAATCCTGGCAGCCCCACTTCCCATCCAGCTCCCTGCTTGTGGCCTGGGAAAGCAGTCGAGGACGGCCCAAGGCCTTGGGACCCTGCACCAGCGTGGGAAACTCAGAGAAGGCTCCTGGGGCTCCTGGCTTTGGATCGGCTCAGCTCCAGCCATTGCATCCACTTGGGGAGTGAGCCAACAGATGGAAGATCTTCTTGTCTCTCCTCTTTGTATATCTGGCTTTCCAATAAAAAATAAATAATAATAATAAAAGAAGTTAGGAAAAAACTTGAACTACATGGTGCATTCAGGACTGGACTAGGCCAAAGGCAGGAGCCTAGAACTCCCTCAAGGTCTCCATCATGGGGGACAGGAGCCCAAGCACTTGGACCATCTTCTGCCTTCCCAGGCAGTGGAAGCAGAGGAGCTGAGGTATAGGATGCTATGATTGCAAGCAGCAGCTTAACGTGCTTCACAACAGCCCTGATCATTGTTAATTCGTTATTCAGCAAGTAGTTAGCATTTATTGAATATTCTACCACACCAGACACAGTTATGAATATTTTACATGGAATAGGATTATGAAACATAAACCATCCCCTCCCTGTTTTATATGTGGAGGGGAAAAAAAGTGCAGTTAAGTGTAAGGAGTTATTCGAATATCCCACCCTGGACCCCTGGCAATTTCATCTTCCTCACAGCTGACGAAATTCGCGCCAGTCTAGCCATCCACCAGTCAGATATAACCCAGCATTTCACCTGAGGCTCCCACCCCCAATCTCCCAGCCACATCCCCAACTCCGCCCACTTACCTATCTTTCTTAGGCAATCACCTGTGACACCCTTGGGCACCAATCCCCTGGAGCCTGCCCTCCATCCCTCCCATTCCCCCGCCCTGACATCGCAGGCTCACCTGAGTGACTAAAAGGCCCCCAGGGGGGCTCTGTCTCTCTTCTTCTTCAGACAACCCCCCTTTCCTTCCCTTACCTGCCTCCCCAATGATCTCCCACCATCCCACCCCTGCCCGGATGGAATAAACCTCCTACTTGTTGTGTCTGGTGTTTGGAGCTCACGGTAAAGAACCAGGTTGCAGGAATTGCACGTAATAATACCTTAAGAACCAGAACTTAAACTTTTAAAAATAATTAACATTAAGGATTTGCCTATAATTTTACAAAGTGGCAGAGCCAGGCATTTCACTGAAGAGGTGATTGCTCTTTGTTAAAGATTTACTTTTTGTTTGAAAGATTTTTACAAAGAGAGAAGGGGAGAGAGAGGTCTTTCCATCCACTGGCTTACTCCCTGAAAGGTCACAAGGACCAGATCTGGACGGAGCCGAAGCTGGGAGCCAGATCTTTAGTTTCTTAAAACTTTTTTTTAATTACTTCTACCTTTAAATATCTTGGGAACTCTGGCTAGATAATAGAGAAATAACGATTTCTGAGCTGCTAGTAACAGTCCCTACGGGACTAAGTAACTGGAACTCCAGGTCTCCTAAAATCCTGGAAAGGAAAGGGTGTGAACATTCCTGATGGCAGTCGCTGCAGTTTGGGTGCCACTTCCTGCCCCGCTCCGGCAAGGGGTGTGTCCTGAGCCTGCGTCCCGCGCTCTGATTGGCTGTGTGGGGCCATGCCTGCGTGCTCACTTGTGTCCTAAGCCCTGATTGGCTAGGGGTGAAGCACCCTGGTCTGCGACCTGAGGAAAATTGTATCGCGACTTTGGTCTTGGGACCCGGACCTCACACCTGAAGAGACAGGCCTGCGAGGGAAGAGGCAAAGCCCCGGGACTGCTGCGCCTTGCTTCGAGCTGACAGGTGAGTCGCCTGCTCCTTGGGCCCCCTGGGAGTGATCGTGACGGCAGCACAGCCCACCAGGGCCCAGCTGGGCGCTTGGCTCCGCCTGCCTGTCTCGCTCGGTAAACGTGTGACCTTTGGCTTAGTCCAAAAGATCTTTCTTAAACTCTGATTTTTTCTTACTGATAAACATCGGGACTAGTTTTAAAATTTCAGATCATAGTATAAATTTTTTTATTGAAATTAATGCTGTTGTATAAGGGACCTTATTAAAACAAAGATGTGCATGTTACCAGAAGTGTGCTCCACTTGCCCCTCTTCCCCAAAAAAAGGTTTTGATAGGCAAAGCGCTTAGCCCAGAATGTGCTCACCAAGAGCATTCCTGTGTCTGGGCGCAGGGCAGGGTCGAGGAGCCAAGGTGTTGTGTCCCGGGTCTGTCACTCTCTGAGTAATTTTAAGTTATCTTACCTGCCTCTGGTTTGCTGGGATGGTGTAACGGGTCAGCAAGTGTGAAATTTCCTGAATATTCTAAGTAACCAAGGGAGTGTCTTCATTTTCCTCAAGCTGAGGCAGAGACATGAAGTTTCTCGCCTTAAATCACAGCACAGCTAATAGTTGACCAAGATCTAAGGCCAGGAAATCTGGCTCCAGCAAGCTGCATCAAATTGCTTCATGAACATACTGTTGACTCAATTCCAGGGCAGAGACAGGAGTTCTCTTCCTGAGTGGATCAGGTTCTTGGCTAGCGATTGTTCAATCCCTGCCCTCCCAGTGTTTGCACAAAGGGACTGTACTACTGTGATAATTCCAGAGATAATAGTGGGAGGGGACGACCCCTGCACCTTCAAAACTGTATCATGGTAAATAAAAAATAATGTATTTTTTTTTAAAAACTATGGCAAGATGTTCATGGTTGTACTGTAGTGTCCCATGGATATTGCTAAAATCATTTATAAAATGCTATTGGTAAACAGGCCTTTTTCTGTAAAGAGTTACTCTCAGATGCACCATGAGCAAGAAAAAATAAAAAGGTATGCCCTATTTTAGCAATAGAGCCTGTGCTTTTAAAAAGCACTGCTGCTGAAATGAATGAAAACCTCCTGGGTGTTATGGCAGATGCAAAAGCAAAGTGCTACACAGAGCACGCAGAAAGCTGCCTGCTGGGGAACGCCTCCTAAAAACTGTAATGCCAGCGGGTGAGGCAAAGCCGCAATTCAGTGGGACACGTCAGTGAACAGTCTGCCGAAGCAGTATATGAACAGCCACGGCTATGTCAAGTGGTACACAGTTGTGATTCATTTGCCATGAAAGTCTGTAACGGGGAGATGGCTTCATTCATTAAGGTCAGGGAAGTATCCTTGAGAAAGCGACACATAAAGCTGGGAGTTAGTACCAGTGGCCATGGGAAAATAGTCTTCAAAGACTAGAGGTTTTCGAGAGCCACAAGAACTGAAATGTAGCAGGTCCAGCTGGTGTACGAGGAGGAGACTGGGGATTTGGATGATCGCAGTGTCATAGTAAGTAAGTTCTGTGTTTGTTTATCCTGAAATGCTAATTTAAAGTGTATTGCAGTGAATGACAAGATCACACTTTTGCTAAGCTGCAGAGAAGCCCAAGTGGACCAGCTAAAGCCTAGAACAAGGATGAAGATTCAAGGTAAGAAGAGAAAGTCTATAGCTAAGGCTTAAAAATGAGACAGATAAGGGGTGATCAAATTCATAGTGAGAACCCAGACAGTGGAAGGAGATAGGAACACTTGTGGGCTCGAACCATATAGACATTGTCTTCATTGGGAGCTGTGTGAATACACAGAATGGAAATAGAGAGTAGAACAAGATCTGCGAGAATTAACTGAGGGAAAGAGTGAAATGGGATTTGGGCTTTGTGTGCTCACTTTGGCAGCACATATACTAAAATTGGGATTTGGGCTTGGGGAGAGTGAGTGGAAGAGCTGTGGAGAAGGATGGAAATCAGAAGAGGATTTATCATGGGCTGAAGGACCAAGCTACACTGTTGACTAAGTTTATTTAGATTCTTTCTTACATTAAGAAATTTGAGGCCCCCGTGTAATAGCCTAGTGACTAAATCCTTGCCAGGTTGCCATATGGGCACTGATCTGTATCCTGGCTACTCCACTTCCCATCCAACTCCCTGCGGGTGGCCTGGGAAAGCAGTCGAGGATGGTTCAGGGCCTTGGGAACCTGTATCCATGGGGGCACCCGGAAGAAGCTCCTAGTTTTTAGCTTTGGATCAGAGCTCAGTTCCAGTCATTGTGGCCAGTAGGGGAGTAAACCACAGGACAGAAGATTTTTCTGTCTCTGTAAAGTCTGCCTTTTCAATAAAGATAAATATTTAAAAATAAAATTTCAAATGGCTAAAAAACCAACTTTTAAAATTCAACATACAAAAGGGTATACAGATTTTACCTGATTATCTGGTACTTAAAAAGCAGAAGGAATCATAAAGGAGAACTTTGGCCGTTTAAAACTGATGTTATTCTGACATAAGCTACAATACAGAAAACTTTGAAAGTATTACATTAAGTGAAATAATTCAGAGGCAGATACAGAAACTCCTCAAGCTTAGTAATTGAGGTTCTGTTAAGACCACTGCTAAGAGGACCTGTGATGCAACAATGGTGTAAAATGGGATCCACATCCTGTTTGTGCTTAAGCCCCAGACACCCATGTGAGAGACCTAGAAGCTCCTAGCACCTGAGTTTGGATTGGCTCAGCTCCAACTATTGCAGCAATTTAGGGACTTAATGAGCAGATGGAAAACCTGTCACTCCTCTCTTTCTGTAACTCTTTCAAGTAAATAAATCTTTAAAAGTAAAAGTAACATCATTAGGTTAAAAATACAGTAAACGAAAAATCCAACTTTGACTGCTTCATTTACTCATAATTGGATAAAATCATAAAATGCCTATTATATAAAGTTGAATATTTCATGATTTATTGAATAAAGTGAAAAGTAGAATGGTTATTTGGGTAACTTTCATACCATTATTATTAAATTTTAAAAAATGTAAGAGGAATCATTTTAAATCACAGACTGTCATACTCTACTACTGGGAAGGGTGTTGAAGAAGCAAATTCATAGAACAGAGCTGCCAGGCACTGGGGGAGAGTGTAGTAGAGCCCTTGTTTAGCGGTACCAAATTTGTACTTGGAATGATAGTTCAGGATGTGGTGCAGCAAGGTCAGCTTGCTTCCATGATGCCTGCATCCCACATGGCTGCTGGTTTGAGTCTCTGCTTCCAGTTGAGCTCCAAGGATAATATATCAGGGAAATCAGTGCAAGATGGCCCACGCACTTTTGCCCCCTTCACCCATGTGGAAGACCCTGAATAAGTTCCAGCATTCAGGCTTCAGCCTGGCCAGCCAGCCCTGCCTGCCTGTTACAGCCAGTTGGGGAGTAATTCTGCTTGTCAAATTTAAGGAAAAAAAGTTCTGGAAATATATACTGGTGCTGGATGTACAAATTGTGAATGTATTTAATGCCCGTGAGTTATACACTTGTAAATATTTAAAATGACAAATTATGTGCTTAAACATTTTTTAAAAAGTACCTTGGGGGGGTCAGGTTGGTGGCTCAACAGGCTAGTCCTCCACCTTGCAGTGCTGGCATCCCCTATGGGTGGCAGTTTGTGTCCCAGCTGTTCCATTTCCCATCCAGTTCCCTGCTTATGGCCTGAGAAAGCAGCAGAGAATGGCCCAAGTCCCCGGGTCCCTGCACCCTGTTTCTGAGCAGCTCAGTTCTGGCTGTTGCAGCCATTTGGGAGTGAAACAGCTGATGAAAGATCTTTCTGTGTCTCTTTCTAAATCTGCCTTTCAAATGAAAAAATAAATCTTAAATTACTTTGGTATGCTAAAATAAACCTTCAACAATTGAAAATTTAATGCAATGTAAGTGTATATTAAAATTACTTTTCCTAATAGAGTTTGTCAATCTTTTTTAAAAAATGGAAAGTCTTTAAAAAAATGGAAAAATGTAGTTTAATAAGCCACAAGATCAGGAATAGTTCAGAAAAATGTTCAAAATAATTAAGAAAAGCTCATGTTCATTAGTGTTGTCATGTTTCACATACCAAACTAAAACAGGTGAATCACTCATACTGCTATGAGTTAAAGTTAGGTTAAGTTTTTCTTGACAATACAGCAACCTCAAGTGTTCATATTTCTCCTCCAAGAATTATTTTATGAATTCGTCCTAAAGAAAAAGCTATGAAATATGGATACTCAACATACAGCAAAAACTACAATTACAAAAATTATAGCCCATATGTTCAATATTAGGAATTAATCATAAAATTTGACCTACCCTATATATCATGCAGTCATTTTAGTTAAATAAGTGGATAAAAGTAGAAAATAAATTTCATATATAATGTTCCTTTCAACATTCCTGCTTTTCACTTTAACAATCAACTGTGCTCACTACAAATTGTTCAAACAACTTACCTGAACACAGTTGATCCCACAGCGAGCAGGACACGGTGATGGCTTGCTTTTCCGCTGGTCTCACTGGGCAACAGTCCCTGAGTCAGTAAGAAGGGAAACCTTGCCACCGTCAATTTGGTGCTAATTCCTAATGACCTGTCATTTTGTATAACATAACCCATTAAACCACGCCACCTACTTCACCTAGTGCTTAGGTGTCCGGGGAGTAAGCCAGCAGAATGGAAATCAGTCTTTCTAAATCTGTAAATCTGACCTCCTCACCTCCTAAAAAAGTTAAACCAAAATGTGAACTTTGTTATTTATTTGTCCTTATAGAACAACCCTTTATATGCATTGGTTAGGTTTGAAAGTGAAAATTCTCAGAGCCTGGCATGATGCCTAAATTGCCTTATCGGATCCCACATGGGTGTGGGTTCGTGTCCTGGCTGCCCTACTTCCCATCCAGCTCCCTGGTTATGGCCTGGGGAAGCAGTGGAGGATGACCCAAAGGCTTGGGACACTGCACTCACGTGGGAGACTCGAAGAAGCTGCTAGCTCCTGATCTGCTCAGTTCTGGCCATTACAGCTCTCTATAAATCTGCCTTTCCAGTAAAAATAAACAAATCTTTAAAAAACAAAGTGAAGAGTACTCAGCATATAGGGCAAGAGGACTGCAAAAATCAGACTATTTTCAGCTTTCTTTTCAAAAGCCTAATGCCAACTAGCTACTTAGCACAGGACTATGCTTTTGTGACAGGGCTAAGACACTTAACAATCTGGGATATTAAAAGTTAAACTAGTACCAGAAGGGACCACAGCGCCCAACCAGCAAGCCTGAGAACAAGGGGGCAGAGCCGGCAGGGGGGATAAGAGGTGGTTCCTTTGCTGGACAGCTACTCCCGCTGGAGAGCATGGGCTGGGATGTGGGCAGACCAGACTAGGCAGGGCTACAACACCTGTACGCCTCATGTGGACTAGATCAGGGAAAAGCCAGGCTGGGCTGATTATTCCTACTGGTGCAAACAAAATTAGAGTGGGTGAGGGTTGTTTGGGCTTAGCCACAGCATCAGCTGACAGAAGCTGGCACTGGGGGCTAGTTCTGTCAAGTCAAACCACAGAACTATCTAGAGAGTGCATAATCTGGGAGTGGGAGAGGCCTGGGAGGGGAATAGTGAGCTCCTCCCTCTTGGGTTACCACTTCCACGGGAGGGCGTAAAACCAGGGTAGGGGGCTGGGGTGGAATGGGGAGTGGGACAGACTGGACTACTGCTACACATACTGGCTAACCAGGGTAGGGGTCGGGCCTGGTGGGGGTTATTGCGGGTCACTCCAGGCTGGACTGCAACACCCATTAGCTACAGTGAAAGTCGGGAGTGAAAACAGAACCACCCAGCAATTGCAACCACCAGCTGATCAGGGCAATGGACTGTGCCGGGCCCTGTACTTGCTAGCACATACAAGAATCTGGTCTGAGAACACCTCAGACAAAGTTTCTTTGGAGATCTCCCCAATCAAAATGCTGGACTCAGAACCCTAACCAAGAAAAGAGAGAAGACAGAACAGGTCAACCAACCAACCATCTCAGCTATATCTTAGCAGCGAAATATGGGGCAAACAGAGACTCTATGATGGACTATGTCAATCAGTGGATTCTTCAAGGACCTCATAGTGCTTGGAGTGGCAAGATTGGCAGCGATTCATAACTGTTGAAATATCAAAACCACTTGAGCAAGAACCTCAGAGCATACCCTACATCTGGGACCTGGGGAGGGTGGGAAATTGGGTGGGCCTTCTCCCTTAATACCCCCCCTTTAATAAATAAAAAAAGAAATGCAAAAAAAAAAAGTTAAACTAGTCATGTTTGCATTACCAGAGACCAAAAAAAAAAAAAATACTTCATAAGGTTTTGACAAAACTCAATGGGTTTATGAAACATAAGGAGAGTAAATTGTGAAGAGGTATATTTAGTATATAAGGGAGTTTTTCAATATTCCAAATGACTTTTCCTTTCTATTTTATATCCATTTGATTTCTACACTTACAACTTAACATGACTCAAAATTTGTAACTGTGAATGTTCTAAAAGTAAACACCCTTTGTCACAAAAATCTTTATTTTTTTTTTCTCTTACAGGTATAATGAATATATTCTGAATCCCAGGACAATGGGACTGAGCCAGGGGATTACAGGCCTGTTGTGCAAGTTGCTGTTGTGGTACCAGCCCCGCCGGTTGATTTCTTTCAGAAAGGTGCAGTCAATTCCAGGAAACAGACCTTTTCTTGAATGCTTCACCTATACAACTGATAGACAGTCAAACAAAGAAAACAGGAGAACAGTGGAAAAACTCTGTCAGTTTTCAGTTGATATTAGCAAAATTCGTAGAGTAAAAGAATGGGTACTTTTGGAGGATAAAACATATGTTGAAGAAATTGCCAGTATTTTACAAGAACTAGGTGCCAGTGAGACTGTGATAGCCAGTATTCTAGAACGCTGCCCAGAAGCAATTATCTGTAGTCCACCTGCCGTTGACACCCAGAGGAAACTCTGGCAGCTGGTCTGCAAAAATGAGGAAGAGTTAATCAAATTAATAGAGCGGTTTCCAGAATCTTTCTTTACTGTTAAAGACCAAGAGCTCCAGAAGTTCAATGTTGAGTTCCTTCAGGAGCTGGGACTCAAGAATGTTGTCATTAGCAGGTTCTTGACAACTGCATCACCTATCTTCAATAATCCTGTTGAGAAGAATAAGCAGATGATACAGATTCTCCAGGAGAGTTACCTAAATCTAGGTGGCTCGAAGGCTAACATGAACGTTTGGTTGCTAAAATTACTAAGCCAAAATCCATTTATTTTGTTAAATTCTCCTACAGCTGTAAAGGAAACACTGGAATTCCTCCAGCAGCTAGGTTTTACAAACTCAGAAATTCTACAACTTCTGTCCAAACTCAAAGGTCTTCTTTTTCAGCTTTGCCCACAAAGTATACAGGACCGCATTTCTTTCTCTAAAAATACTTTCAAGTGCACAGATGATGACCTCAGGCACTTGGTTCTGAAATGCCCTGCCCTTTTATATTACTCTGTTTCAGTTTTAGAAGAGAGAATTCAGGGGTTACTAAGAGAAGGAATTTCCTTAGCTCAGATAAGGGAGACACCTACGGTTCTTGAGCTAACACCACAGATAGTGCAGTACCGGATGAGGAAACTGAATGCCTTAGGCTACAGAATGAAAAATGGGAATCTAGCAAATCTGCAAGGAACAAAACAAGAGTTTGAGTCTAACTTTGGTAAAATTCAAGCTAAGAAAACCCGACCATTGTTTAATCCTGTTGCACCATTAAATGTTGAAGAGTGACTACTGATGTTTTTCTAGCAATAAAGTGAAACTGATCAGTGGAAACTTAAGCAATTCATGTAATTTATAAACAATAGTAATGTTAAGAAAATACCTACTTTTTGAGTTGTTTGCTTTATCTCGAAATAGTCTCTAACTCATTCACTCTTTTAAAATTAAATTAAAATTTTAAGCAAAATTGGTAACTCTGAGCTATTATGTCAAAAATGCATGTGCTGGGGCCAGCTTGGTGGCACAGCAAAGTAATTCTCAGCCTGTGGCACCAGCATCACATATGGCCACCAATTTTTGTCCCGGGTATTCCACTTAGAATCCAGCTCCTTGCTTGTGGCCTGGAAAAGCAGCAGAGGATGGCCCAAGGCTTTGGGACACTGCACTCATGTGAGAGACTCAGAGAAAGCTCCTGGCTCCTGGCATCAGATTGGCTCAGCTCCATTTATTGCAGCCCTTTGCGGAGTGAACCAGCAGGTGGATATTTTTTCTGTCTCTTCTCTGTAAATCTGCCTTTGAAATAAAAATTAAAATGTTTTTAAAACGCATGTGCTATTTAAATGACACATCAGTGTAATATTCTGTGAATGAATTATTTTTAAGAAGCTGACCAGTATATACCTTAATTCAATATAGCACATTTCATATTCTGTATTCTGTAGCTTAGTATTTTTTTTTAAAGATTTATTTATTTATTGGAAAGTCAGATATACAGAGAGGAGGAGAGACAGAGAGGAAGATCTTCCGTCCGATGATTTACTCCCCAAGTGAGCGTCACGGCCGATGCTATGCCGATCCGAAGCCAGGATCCAAGAACCACTTTCCAGGTCTCCCACACGGGTGCAGGGTCAAAGCTTTGGGCCGTCCTTGACTGCTTTCCCAGGCCCCAGGCAGGGAGCTGGATGGGAATTGGAGCTGCTGGGACTAGAACCGGTGCCCATATGGGATCCCGGGCGCGTTCAACGCAAGGACATTTAGCCACTAGGCCACGGCGCCGGCCCCCTGTAGCTTAGTATTAAGTAAAACATCAGCAAACTACTAACAGCATTTTAGGGAAAATGAATTTCATATCATACCTGACATCATTGGTGATTTCAAAAACAAAATATTACTCAAAAATAATTGAAGCCTACTTGTGTGATCAATTTGTTTAAAGCATGTACATACATGACCGTTTTTACAGATGAGAATCAGAAGCTCAGAGAAGCCACTTATTTGCCAGCAGATGTATTAACACTGACCTGTCTATGCCTTCTGAATCCAAAGGATTACTTATGAGCTGGCCTAAGGGCGGTCACTGTGCCTGACATGTTACAGGGAATCGTTAGTAACAGCAAATTTGGAGACAACTTTTGCATAAAATCTAACCTGAAATTATCTAATTTATATACTCTAATTTTTATTTGAAAGACAGAGTTACAGAGAGAGGGAGAGACAAAGATTTTTCCGTCTGGTGGTTCACTTCCCAGATGACGAAAATAGCCAGAGCTGAGCCTATCCAAATCCAGCAGCTTCAACCTGGTCTCCCAAGTAGGTGTAGAGTTCCAAGGAATTGAGCCATCCTTCAATGCCTTCCCACGCCAAATTCAGGGAGCTGAATCAGAGGTGGAGAAACCAGGACAAAAATTGGTGCCCATATGAGATGCCAATGTCGCAGGTAGAAGCTAAGCCTACACACCATAGGACCAGCCCCTAATTCAGGTGCATTCTAAGTAAATCCGACTTTTTACAAAGTTGTGCAAATCCCAAGACTACTTGTAAAAGAAATTGTGATGACTGGCACTAATTTAGTAGTGTTTCAAATTTCCATTTCCAATTCTTGATTCAAAATCAATACTACTCTAATACTGGCCAAGAAGTTTGTTTAAAAAAAATAAATACATGACCAAACAATTGACTCTGACACTGAGTGAGCATCTGTGCTCTATGTCCTCCATGTCTGCATTGATTCACCATTCTACTGAGAGGTAACCTGAAGCTAACTCCAAAGGCAGCCAGTCAAATAACCCTCACTACTCCTTAGGCTAGTGAGACAACCCTACCTGTACAGCACCTGCTAAACGCTGGGCCAACCAGGTGCTCTACAATCTCAGAAGTTAAGATGATGCAGGAATGTTCTAAAATACAAGTAGCAGGGCCTGACACAATAGCATAGTGGTTAAGGTCTTCACCTTGCATGCACCGGGATCCCATATGAACGCCGGTTCTAATTCCTGCAGCTCTGCTTCCCATCCAGCTCCCTGCTCATGGCCTGGGAAAGTAGTCGAGGACGGCCCAAAGCCTTGGGACCCTGCACCCACCCACATGGGAGACCTGGAGGAAGCTCCTGGCTTCAGATTGGCTCAGCTCCAGCTGTTGTAACCACTTGGGGAGTAAACCATCAGAAGGAGGATCTTCCTTTCTGTATCTCCTCCACTCTGTATATCTGCCTTTCCAATAAAAATAAATAAATCTTTTTTTAAAAAAGTAGCAGCCAATACAGTGGGAACGGGGTTTTGAATGATGGGACTGGTGTAAGATAAGCATCACAGGCCCATCTGAGGGGCAAGATCTCATTCTAAGTGATGGAAAACCTCGGAGGTTTTTAATGCATGCTTTTGGATAAACTAAAACCTTGGTTTGTGTCGGGATTAATTTTGTCCTGACATAAATCAGTAGTGTTCTCTCCCCCTCTCCTAAAAGAGCCTCAGGAAAACATACTGTCATGTTGATAGAAGTCAGTTTTGCTATGTCTACAGGGTATCTACCGCAGTTCTGACAAACAGGCAAATGGCAGAATCTGGAGTTGTGAGAAGTCAGGACTGGGTTTACATTTTTGAGGATATCTATGCATCTGGTATTTAAAGCCATGCCTCCAGATGAAACTGCCTGCAGAAAGAGTGTGTACATTTGAAGTAGGGTGGCTGGTCAAGCTCAGGAAAGCATGATCACAGGAACTTAACCTGAGGAAGAAAAGATGACACAGCTGATAATGCACTGAATGCCACTGAGAAGTCAGCTAAGGCACATGTAGTCGGAAAAGCAGAGCAACAAGATTAAATTTTCATCAGGCAACTTATGTATAAATATACAAAATTCACTTCTATGACAAACTGTAATTAACCACCAAAGTGGTTAATTCTAATGAGCTTCAAGTCCAACAGCCCAGTGAGTCAAGATGAGGCTGAGTGTCAACATTAGAGTAAGAATGAGTTGTCTTGCAAGGTAGCCTAGCGGCTAGTCCTTGCCTTGAATGTGCTAGGATCCCATATGAGTGCCAGTTCTAATCTTGGCAGCTCCCTGCTTGTGGCCTGGGAAAGCAGTTGAGGATGGCCCAAAGCCTTGGGACCCTGCACCCGTGTGGGAGATCTGGAAGAAGTTCCTGGCTCCTGGCTTCAGATCAGCTCAGCTCTGGCTGTTTCGGTCCCTTGGAGAGTGAATCAGAGGATGGAAGATCTTTCTCTCTGTATATCTGACTTTCCAACAAAAATAAATAAATCTTGAAAAAAAAAAAGAATTACCAACCAGCAACCTTTTACTTCTGGACATACACTAGAGAAACTGACTGCTGATTCTAAAGTGTTACGAGAAATTGCACTGAAAGTTAGGCTGTTCTGTATCTTCAAAAAAGGAAAAGAGATACTTTCCTCATATGCACCTCATTCTGATTCCACTGGATGATGTTTAAACAGGATCTGGCAGGTTAGCAGGTGCCCAGTAAATAGCTCTGTCCTATCCTCCTCCCTGTCATCAGAGGCTACACAAGGCCCAACAGCTGCATACTCCTTACTTTGCAATTCATTGGTTTTCACACTTAAATGTGCACAAGAATAACCTGCAGAAGAAGGTCAAGTACAGCCCTGGACCTCATCCTGCAGATTCATCTAACTGGGGTAAAACACAGAACAAATCTGCATTTTAAACTTTTATTACAGGTGTTTAACAAATTTGTATTTCACTGTTGTGTTGAGGATGTATGTTTGTACAGTGCTACCATAAAATTTTGAATTGGCTGTAGCACTTTCTGAACTGCCACAGTAAAATTTTTCAGAGGACCCTGTATTAAAGTATCATTTATTTCTTTATGAAACATTCCATTTTTTGCAGATCATAGTGCTTTTATTATCAGATTCATGTTTTCCCATCCCTTTAATACAAAAAAAATTCAGTTATTTTCATCTGACATTTTCACTAATAACAGTATTCATAATAGCAATATAATTAGATCAGTAATTCATGGGGGCCACCCGAGTTTATACTGGTGTGTCAAATAGCCACTCAGAAGACTGCTGAATAACAGAGGTCTCCAGGTGTACACAACAACCTTAGTTTCTTAAAGTGAACTAATCCTGTTTAACAGGTCAAACTGCTAGTCTGTGTAAATAAAAAGTCTCAAACAGCTGTACATGTCAAATGGCAAGTCCATCTCCACAAGAACCTATGGTAACTACGCCTGCAGAGTTCTCGGCTATCGCTGCCAAAGCTCCTGTGGAGAAACGCAGTTTAGAATAATCTTGAGGACCCGACATATGCCAGGTGGCTTTTCTGTAGCAGAAATTACAACTATTTTTCCCTAAGAGATATTAAAGACACAAAGTTGAAAATAAATAGGCAAAAAATCTATACTTAGAAATTCAGGTACAATGCGCAGCAGAGCCCATGACTAAAGATAAATTAGAAGATAGATCTAGCAATGAAGTAGTAATGTCTTCCAAACAGCAGGAAACAAGTTCTCTCACACAATTATTTAGACTTAGTGTTCATTAATTTTGGTATTTTAGGAAAAAATAAAAAACTTTTTTGCTAATCATAGGGCCAAGTGACCACAGACATAGCAAATACACCTTAAATCCTATTACATGAAATAAATTACTAAATTCCTTATGAGCTGAACTTCCTAATGACCTTTCAGTTTCTGTATAGTATGAACATTCAAGAACATTTATATACTTGCTTAAAACCCATTGGTATCTATGAGAGTTATTAAAAGTTGTTACTCTCTTGTTCATCTGCTGTAGTCCTCTTGGTAGTTGACAAGCATCTGAGCCTGTGGTGTTAGGAGCGACCTGTTTGAAGCTCGCAAGAACACTGGTTTATTTACAACAGGGTTACCTGATGCCCCACATCAACAGAATGGAGACACATTTCTAAACCTAAGTACAGGAAAAACTAAAATTTTCCACACTTGAATTATAACCTTTAGTTAAAAGGAATGACAAATATATGTATGCCTGTTGCTAAATTTTTAAGAAACTTAAACATGAAACAAAAATTAATTCCAGCTTATTCATACTCTTTGAAAATGAATGAGACACATGTAAGATATGACATGTCTATCTTCTGTAATCAAAAACTTCAATTCCCTGCCTGAAACGGGTTTGAAAAACTGATAGAGTACCGATGTTTTAAAAGACTGTAATATAACATATTCTGAAAGCCTACATAAGTCTTTGAACATACTTTATTTTTTTACATTCAAAGCTATTCTACAGAACCCATTTCATTCCATTTAAAAGTCAATCCTCACATATCTCTGATTGTTTTTAAAAAGGAAAACTGCTAATAATGTAAGTCCTTCTAAAAGATTCTTTTATGTCTTGGATGCTTTAAGTTAACTCTTCAATTATTCCTTCTTCAAACACTTTCTACATAGCTTCTGCTCAGGAACGAATGTTCGTTAAACATGTGAAGTGTATTAATGGTGCAGCCAGCTGAAACACAACTTTCTTTTAACCACCTCTAACAAGACAGCTCACAAGCACTATCTCACCCAGCTGACAGCCAAGAAATGCCTTACCTCACAACTCCTGAGATCCTTAAGGTGGAAAAATAATTTTGCAACCAATCTTTAAAAGAATTCATAGATAATAACAATATACTTAGGGTGTTAGAAAACATGTTTTTTTTTTTTGGTAAGGCATCAATGATTAAATGAATAAAATGAACTCTCTAATGAAAGATGGCTAACACTCTGCATCATAAACCATTTTTTTCTGTTACACTTTTCTAATTCCTGCTACTTTTGCCAGCCTAAATAAGAAAAGAATGCCTCTTGGCCTTATCAACTATGATTATAAAAAACTAAGACATCTGAAACTATTAGGCACATCAAAGGTACAGTTTATGTAGTTCAAGACGCCCTTCTTAAGGGGCAGATGAGTCACCTGGCACATCGTACATATGGAACTGTAAAGATCATCTACTAAACTCAACTTTCACATTTTTAGTCAAACTGTGAGACTTATAGTAAATATTCAACATACCATATCTTCAGGTACAACCAAGTGAGTGTAACATTTTACCAGATAAAAAGCTGGAATTTAAGTACGAGAAACCTTCATACACTGTGCTAGTATTGGTCTCTTCTTGGTAGACGAAGGCCAGTCATCAATACTTTCAACACAGCAGTTTAGAAGATAAATGTCCAAAACAAGTGACCTGGTTGTAGTCCATAATTGAGCAATTCAATGCCACTGGCATCATAGTGCTGTGGAGAGTACAAATATCTCCATGCTTTAGTCAGACTTGTCTTTCTTCTTTCCTGTTAAGGGCACTTTGTTTGCAACAGCAGACCCAACAGCTGTCACACCTCCAGCCACTGCAGACACACCCCCTTTGACCAGCCCTATTCCCATGGAAGGCACAGTTGTAACAGCTGTTTTGGTCACCTCCAGACTCTTTCCACCAATCCAAGCCACACCACCAATGGTGGCACCAACAGCTCCCTTTGTAACACTGAAGAGACCTCCAGTCACACGAGACAACATGCCTGGCTGCTGCTGTGGATGATCTTTCATTGAACCTAATGAAAGAAAAATATGAAACAGATATCATTTCTTTTTTAACTGAAGCAAACCCCGAATTCCTCACAACTAGGAGGTTGATTTGGTAAGGCCAGCCACCCCAACTGACCGTAAGAGTGAAATGCACTTCCCTCAAGAGCACAGTTGCACACACATATTTACAAATGTTGGTCCTATGCTAAATCTTGGTATCTAGGAAAATAAATGCTTTAGACACTGGACAGCTTTCACAGAGCACTAAACTTCAGGATCTATTTTACATGTTTTCTTGGTTTCTAATTTTATTGCTAATAATCTTAAAACATGTCCAAAAGAACATGAAAAAAATTCTAGCTTTCATTTCCTTGCTACAGTTTAATCATTTTTGAAGCAGTCTTCCTATAAAGTAGTGGTTCTCAATGTATGGTCTGGTAGTACTCCTGGGAATCCCTGAGATCATTTCACCCCAGTGACAACTCTTCTTAATAATATGAGGATGTTGTATTCTGTTACTGTCTACAGAAAAGCTTCCCAGAAGCTAATGATGTTCAACAGAGCAAATGAGGACATAGCTGCAAGAATCTGCTGTGTTCCATTTAATGCAAGCATATACAGCGTTCTTCAGAAAACATATAAACATCACCCTATTTTATTTTGGGAAAAGATACTTTTCACAAAAATGCATTAACATTTGGTTCTCTCATTGGATATTCAAATTTCTTCATTTTTATTCCTAATACAATGACACAAGCTCTGAAACCTCATTTTCTTAATTTAAAACCATCCTGAAACCAAGAAGTTTAAGAACTACTGATTTACGTATATTTAGATCTCTACTATATGCATTTCTTGGTGAAAATTTTAAAGAATTAATGCTAAGTAAATACAGGATACTATCTATCTTTAAAATTCTATTGTCTATCTAAAATCTTTTTTTTTTTTAGGTTAAGCCACCACTTTTTTAAAGATTTATTTTTTTATTATTTTTATTGGAAAAGTGGATATACAGAGAAGAGAGACAGAGAGGAAGATCTTCCGTCCGATGATTCACTCCTCAAGTGAGCTCAACGGCCGATGCTATGCCGATCCAAAGCCAGGAGCCTCTTCCAGGTCTCCTGCATGGGTGCAGGGTCCCAAAGCCTTGGGCTGTCCTCAACTGCTTTCCCAGGCCACAGGCGGGGAGCTGGAAGGGAAGTGGGGCTGCCAGGATTAGAACCGGCGCCCATATGGGATCCTGGGCATGCAAGGCGAGGACCTTAACCACTGCACCATCGAGCCGGGCCCTAAAATCATTTTTATTCAGGGGGCAGGCATTTAGCACAGCAATTAGGACACTCATATTCCATACTAACAGTGCCTTGGTTGAGTCCCAGCTCTGCTTCCAGGTAAGCTTCCTGTTGATGCGTGCCCTGGGGAAGAGCAGGTGCTAGCTCAAGCAGTTAGGTTCCTACTCCTCCCAGAAGAGCCCTAGATGGAGCTCTGGCTCCCAGTCAGCCTGGCCCAGCCCCTGCTGTGGAGGGCATTTGGGAAGAGAACCAGTAAATAGATCTGTTCCTGCCTCTCAAAAGAGAAAAAAAAAATTAAATTGAATCCTGCTGAAAAATCTCAAATGTCACCATACAGGTTTTGTACACGGGGCATAAAAACAAAACAGTCCATCCTCTGTATCCACCCCACCCCTTACAAATCATATTCTTACTTGTGAAATAGTCTTCAAAGAGTAAGAGTGACAGGAAAATTCCTCACATAATAAAAATCAAGTTGTGTCTCCACCAATATATAATGTTCTCTTATTAGAGGTAAAAATGTTTATCTTCAATTATTTTTAGAACATAACAAAGTAACTAGGTTACCTGTCTTTAGAGTTAATAAAATCACTTTTTATTCACTCAGACTTTTTTTACATTCTTACTGTAAAAATGCATACTTACCTTCTGGTGGCTCATCATTAAGGTATGATGGAATATCTTGATTTTTATCTGCCTGATTCATGATCTCCTAAAGAAACCATAAAAACATATTTCATTTTAAATTGAACATGTCAGTCTCTTATCACATGCTAAGGCTTTACTGCTATGATTTAAAAAAAAAGTTTCATATATTTGAAAGTCCAAGCAAATGAGCAAGCTGGTTCACTCCTCAGATGCCTACAACAGCCAGGGGCTGGGCCAGGTCCCAAAGCCAGGAGCTTCACCCCAGTCCCCCACATAGATGCAGGAACCCAAGCACCTAGGCCATCCTTTGTGGCTTTCCCACACCATTAGCAGAGAACTAGATGGGAAGCAGAGCTGCCAGGATTCTAACCAGTGTCTATACGGGAGGCTGGCCCCTTCGGCTTACCATTTTAAAATGCCCATCACAAGCCTATATACATTATCTTGTGTCTCCTACTTGAAATTGTAATCTGTAAGAAATACTTTAAATTACACCAATAGACAAATCTTATTTGAAACACAATGTAAGCTATGTATCGTGTAAGCTACTATACTGTAATAATTCTATTTAAACTGGAAATTACCGACTGAAATAAAGTTCATTGGTAAGGTGGTCAAAAGAAAAAATATGTTTTCTCCTATAGAATACTGGTTAACTTGTACTTTACTTTAAAAGTTTAAATAAAACTCTGAAGCTAAAGAAGGTATTCCATGTGAGAAAAACAAATGGTAATCCCTCTTACCACAGATGACATCATCTATCTGAATCAGTAAAAGATTCCAGTGACTTTTTTGTTGTTTTTAGATCAATTCAAAATCTGTCTTGCTGGGTCAGAAAACTAGGATTGTACCCCAGGAGTCATCTGAGTATTTCTGAGTCATACATCCTTGAAGCTTAGATTCTGTTGCCTACGCAACAGAAATCATAAAGGATGCTGTGAAAACCAACACTGGGGTTTAACGCATTAGTCAAAAAAAATTGATCAGTGCAGATCCTAGAATCCCTGCCTTCATGACACTCAAATGGTGCTAAATGCTATCGGAAAACAGGAGGGAGGAGGCTGTGTAGTATTTTAAATGGTAAGTGTGTGAAGCCTAGGACATTGCTATGATACCCCAAAGCAGAAGGTGGTAAGCAAAGAAGTTCCCCAAACAGAAACTGCAGGAGCCAGGGCCTGGGCGTCTGACCCTACCTGCAGCAGCAAAAACCACCAAGAAAACAGTATGGCAGGGGCCACACCAAAGGGCAGCAGAAGAGGAATTCCAAGAATGAGGTCTGGATCACATCACTGCAAGTAATAATGGAGGCTGCTTTTTAAGTGAATAAGGCAGCCAGCAAAAGGTCAGCAAAGAAGTGTTGGGTTTTTTTTTTTTCTTTCAAACTTTCACTTAAGAGACAGAGGTCCTTTCTACTGGTTCATCTTCCAGGTTAGGCTGTGGTGAGTCAGCGGTCCCATTTCAATTCAGGCCACCTTGAGCACTCACAATTACCTCCAGGATCTGCATGATCAGGAAACTGAAGTTGGGAGCCAGAGCTGGAAATCAAATCCAGGGACTCAGATGTAGGATGTGGGTATCTTAACCATTAGACTAAACACCAGCACCTATAATATGACTTATCACTTCTACAACCACTTCAGTTTAAGCCATCTAGGCAAATATACACTATTGTATTACTGCAAAATCTCTGAACTGGTCTCCAAATTTCCACCTTTGCTCTCCTTGCACCTTGGCCTTGGGCACAGAAACATAATCTTCCTTTCCACTCTGATGTTGTCATCTACCATTCCATTCTAATAATAGAGTTCCTTGTTTATACTTTCGGAGATGCTCTTGCTCTTAATTCCATTCAGGTGTTTGGGCAAATACCCCTCCCCCCCGCCCGTGAGAGGACATTTCCTGGTGACCTTGCAATGAGTATCCTCTACGATCCCATGACTTTTTAGCTTTCTGTTCTCTATTTTCTTCACAGCTTTCGCTCCCACGTGATAGTCCATCCACACAACGGTCTTAAAAATTTCATGGAAATGCATATGATGAAAAAAACTACCTGGATTTTTTGGGCACCAAAATAGATACTTTTCAATTCAATTTTCCATTAGGCTTTTAAATTCCTGTATATTTATCTTTCTGTGTTCCCAATTAGAATGTTAGCTCCAGAAAACAAGGGCTGCTTCATTTACTGTTCCATTTCCAGAGCCCTAATCAATGTCTGATATATGACTAGCATTCCTTGAATTTCTTTATATAAAGTAGAATATAACCTCAGTATTTTGTTTGTTTCCCCCATGACAGGAAATATCTTCCAATTCTGATATTCTTTCTTCTGCTTCATTCAACTTTTTAGACTCTCCATTAAACTTGTAATTTGCTCCACTGTAATCCTAACTTCTGAAATGTCAGCTTTCATTTGATTTATTTCCTGTGTAACAAATTCTTTAAATTCTTTGAACTCTTGTATTATGTGCTTCTCACTGTTGGTCAGAAGCTTTATAATAAGTTTTCTGAATTCCATGTTCCCCATTTTTCAGTGTCTTCCTCGGTTATCTCTGAGGGTGTTGGAGGCTTTTGTTCCTTTACGGGGGAGTCTTTGGTAACATTCATTATGCCGCTGTCTCTTCTTTTAACTTTTGACATTGCAATCCTGTATGGTTTGTTTTTTTTTCTTAGTGCAGATTTCTAAGATGTATTACCTACAGGTCTACAAGTCAGTTTTTACGTTCAATCAGTGTGCTGGGTTAGGAAGACACCAATTGTCCCAGAGAACTGGTTTATCTGCAGCACTGATCTTGTCTAAACACACAAAATGGCACCCAGCGGAGCACGGCCAGAGGGCCAGGGCTGTTGGCTTTCCATCCGGGGACCACACAAATCCTGCAGGACACGAGGCTGGTGCTGTCCTCCCCATGAGATCAGCCAGTGTGACTAGTTGGAAACGCTCCCACTCTGGCGCTTGATCCCTGTGCTGCTAGCTCCATCCTGCCACCAGTCCACCCCATGGAGTCCACAATTCCCCTTGGGTTCGTTGCTGGGCCAAAGTATTCGGCAGGATTGGCCAGTCCCACCCTGACTTCACCTCCTGAGCTCCCCTGAGGAACCCAAGCTCCCACCTGGCTGCTGCAAGGGCTGATTTGTGGCTGCCACTGGATCCCTGGTTGTTGCTGGAGTCTGGACCACAGCTTACTGGTGGCTGGTGGGCCTTCTGTTCCCTGTAACACCACTCCGCTGTCATCACCTCTTCTCTGTGTCCAGGGGTTCTCCAGGTACCTCCCTGTTGACCTCCTTCCTATCTTTTTCTATAATCTGCTCTCTTCCTTTACCCTGTCTAATGTTTCTTCGTCATCTCAAATGTGTGCACTCTGCCGTCATCTTGATTCTAGAATATGACCTTAGTACTAATGTGAGAAAGGGAGACTCTAGGAGGGCAGACGGAGTATGATGATGAGACATCAGAAGAGAAATCACTTCTGAGAGATGAAGGGCTTGTTTTTGAACAATCTGTTTCTAAGATGCCTTCAGAGCATCCAAGTGGACTTCAGGGGCCAGCCAGAGTTGATCTGAAGTGGAGGGAGAGGAGTTGGACAGACTATCTAATAGGATCAAGAAAAACGGTAATAAAAAAACAACCGCAGCTAGACTGCTTTTTTAAGGTGAACAGAAAAAAAAAAAAAGCAAAAATGTAACACTTGAGAATTTATAGGGAAATAAGGAATAGCTTCACAGAAAACAAAAGATTTATAAGCTTCCTAAAAGATATATACAGTGAAAGTGTTATAATAACTTATGAAGATCAAATGTTTAGGCTAGAGAAAAATGCTACTGTTACACTTAGAGACTAGTATAAAAGGCATGTGTCACTGATCTAATTTTTTAAGGAATACGAAGACAAAAAGATTGGAAGAAGTATACCAAAGTGTTCATAAAAACTGCCCCACGCGAGTGGACAGGACCCTGAAACTTTAGCCATCATCTCCTGCCTCTTGGGGTGTGCTAGCAGGAAAGTGGATTGGAAGCAGAGCAGCCTGGACTGCCCAGGAACTCCAATATGCGACAGAGGTATCTCATTATAAATATATTAGATTTATTTTATTTCTATTGGAAAGTTGGATATACAAAGAGGAGAAGAGACAAAGATGTTCTGTCCAATGATTCACTCCCCATGTGGCCCCAATGACCAGAGGTGAACCCATCTGAAGCCATGAGCCCAGAGTCTCCCAAGGCTGCAGGGTCCCAAGGCTTTGAGCCTTCCTTGACTGCCCTCCAAGGCCACAGGCAGGGAGCTGAATGGGAAGCGGGGCCACTGCAATTAGAACAGGCACCCATATGGGATCCCTGTGCATGCAAGGAAAGGACTTTAGCTGTAAGGCTACCGCACTGGGCCCATAGACAGAGGTATCTCAAGAAACAGTTTAACCAGGCCCGGCATGATGGCATAATGGTTAAGGTCCTCGCCTTGCACGTGCTGACATCCCATATGGGCGCCGGTTCTAATCCCGGCAGCTCCGCTTCCCATCCAGCTCCCTGCTTGTGGCCTGGGAAAGCAGTCAAGGACGGTCCAATGCTTTGGGATCCTGTACCCGCATGGGAGACCTGGAAGAGCTCCTGGCTCCTGGCTTCGGATTGGCACAGCTCCAGCCATTGCGCTCACTTGGGGAGTCAATCATTGGATGGAAGATCTTCCTCTCTATCTCTCCTCCTCTCTGTATATCTGTCTTTCCAGTAAAAATAAATCTTAAAAAAAAAAAAAAACAGTTTAACCCACTGCACAATGCCTGGTCCATAATTGCATTTTAAAAATTTATGCAGTTTATCTGGTGCTAGCTATTTTAGGCTTTTATCTGCAGATTAAGTTAATTATGCCAAAACTAATATACTTCCATCATATAATGCTTTAAGAAAATGACATCCCTAGGTTTTGCTTTTACTTGAAAGCTAGAGCAGTTTGTTTCAGCTTGTCACTGGTAAGGACACCCTGACAGTCTTACACAGGTTATTTACTTGGATCAAGGACATTACCCACTCCATCACTTGATACCTCTGATAAGAACTCCACATTAATATCTT